GAATCCCGGCTGCGGGCGCCTGCATTTCCGATGGAGGCGGAAATGTTGTAGGCCCCTGTGCTCAGATTTGGGTGCACGTTTAAAGAACCCCACGTGGTCCAAATTTCCGGAGCCCTCCACTACGCCGTCTCTCATAATCAGATGGTGGTTTTGGGTCGTTAAACCCACATATCAATCAATCAATCAATCATATTGACTATCACTCACTTGTAGATACCATGGTCACTTGCAATTCATTCCGCACCCATACACCGAATCGCGTATTACTGTCATAATTTTATACTTTATACACGCATTTTACGCTTTATTACAGCACGTAATTTTAGGCCTTTATACAGTCGTATCACACCCTGTCATCACAAACATTGGTCATTGCTTACATTGCATGAAAGACATGGCGCTCTTTGGCCACCCGTGGCCCTTGCACCAGAAAACTCCACCAATCATCAGGAATGCAAAACGGTGACTGGAATTCGCGATGCCAGCACAGTTTTCATTCGCTTGATATTGCAGGCGATGTTGCAAAAGAAAAAAAAAAGTCACAGCTTTGCTGCGAAGGCGAAGCAGTGAATGCGAAAGCAATAAATTGGAAGGTCACACGCAAAATGGCAAGCAGATCGAAACGTGCCCCGCGTTTCTCACAACACAAATCACGCATGAAACGTACTCACAGGTACAGATTAATACGAATAAGCGTTTCAGTTGTTATATCACTGTGTCCGAAAAGCGTGCCCTTTTTCGCAAACGGAGACGGTGCAACAATCGCAGTTACCTTTGTGCGCTTGGTAACTACAACAGAATCGTTCCGGTGAAATCCCGAGGCCAGCCTTTATAGCTATGTTCCGGGACTTCGGCGTTCCTTTCATGAGTAAAATGTATAAAGTAGAGCAGTATTCATCATTGAGCTGTGTATTTTTTTCTATGAAAAAACATCGCGACTACTTACTCTCCTGGCTCATGCGGGTAAGTGGTAGTTGTTGAACTCATCCGTACAACATTATCCTTCATGACCTCCTCGTTTGCTTCATCACATGATTTTAGGTTAGTGTAATAGCTAGGCAGGGGTGCATATAAATAAAATTTATGGTGATGTGCCTTTTTATTTCATTTGTAATTAAAACAGTAAGCATGCAGACGATGGGGGTTGCTGTTTTACGATAGGAATCGTGTGAGCTCAGACTATGCAGAAGCAGCATTATTATCTCATTAATGCATCCGCATGTGTTGCATATGTTTAAATCTTGCAAATACCTGTCTGACCATTTAATTGCAAAAATGTCTGACCATTTAATTCAAAAACTGCAGAAAGCTTTGCAATACAAATTTAAATTACGCATGCCGGGCTCATCGTTCGATCATGGCGCCCTAGGCGCCCTACTTGTTGCGTCATCGCAAAAGCGACTAGTGCTCTCCCATTGGTTTGCTGTGAAAACGGCACACTGCCCCATTGTAGTGCACCATAGTGTTAGCGTACTTTGTGTCCGTTCTGTGGTTACGTGGTGGGGAACTAGCGCTAGAGTTTCCATGGCACAGGCAGGTGTCGACCTGGCGGTCAAAGTGAGCACTCCTGCAGATGACACTGGCGGCTGGTGGAGGCGGTGGGGAGCGCATCTCTGAAACAATACCAAAGACGCTAGTGGTGCAGTTGCGTTTTCAAGGGCCTCAATATGTAGAAATGAAGGAGGACATATCACTGTACGTTTTTCCATCTTAATTATATCAATAAAAAAGGAGGCGGCGTAGCACACAAGTGGTCAGGAGAGCAAAGTATGTTCTTCTTTCGCTCCCTTGTATAGTTGTGCCAGCCTTGTTTCTAAACTGAATGGCCCGTGTCTGCTAGATTTCTTTGATAGTGATAACGGCCACCAGTGGAAACCAGGGAGAAACAGGCAATTTTAACCGACATTTTTCTGGAAATAAAACTAGCTTATATGCAGCATATGGCGTATGTAAAATTTTTTTGTCCGACCACCACCGCCAAACTCGTCTGATCCCTGCCTCGTGAAGTGAATGATATTATAGGTAAGTAGTCTACATTATATGCAATAGTTACGTAGACGGAAACCTGCATTGTCCGCAAGATTTGTATAGAGGCATGTTCGCCTAAGCGGCCGATGAAAGATATGCTCGCGATGAATACTCGATGCTTGAGATGCCTCTGTTTAACTTAATTGGTTCTTGTTAAGAATAAAGCAACGGACTGCTCAAAGCATAGCTTTCTGGAGTCAGCAATGCGGTAAGCTTCCTTGCTCACGGCTTTGTGGCTAAGTAACATCAGAATTTATGCCTTGATAGAGAAGTAGCAAATGTCTTTGATTTGTACTTGTCGTTTTGTTCACCTAACTCACAATTCGAGTTTTTCCTGCTTGCCTGTGTCTACCTGTTTAAGATCGATAATTGCTAGGCTTTCATGTGCCAAACAAGATATGAATTTGAGGCATGCTGTAGTGGGGCTGTCAGGATTAATTGTGATTGCTCGGGGTTCGTCAGTGTGCACATATATCGTGGTTAACGGGTGTACTTTGTATTTGAATTTCGCTCTCACTGAAATGCGGCTGCTGTGGTCTTGCGAAAAAGTGTATTGAGATTTGGAAGCGTATTGAGAATTGGATTTAGTTAGCGCTAGTCGCGGGACACTGCACATTTTGTTCAGTTACTCATGCGTTTGTACGTCACATAATTCTGAGTACCAGTATAATCATTATATATCTAAATATGTTACTGGCAATCATTTGATGCAGTGTAGGACATTCTTGCTTCCACAAAAAAACACAACTAAATTGTGCAGCAGTTTTTGTTTCAGCACTCATACTCCTTGGTTTCACGAATCTCCCAAATTTCGAGGTTGTGAGCTTGGCATATCAATATTTAAATTCGCAGAGACTGTCAAATCATTTACAAACGCAGCAAGTGCTAATATGGACTTTGTCATTGTTTTCTCAGTGGGGTGGTTCAAAATACCACTTTCATTGAAATAGCAGAGCTCATGTTCACAGTGAATGACTTAGCCGTGTAGAATGGTTTCTACATACATTTTTGCTAAATGTAAGCCTTTTTTTTTTTATGCTGCTCCAAATTTGGGTATTTTGTAATAACAAATGCATGTTTTCCCAGTAACCTGCTCCAAATTAACATTTAAATCTACAAATGTAACATTTTGCTGCTCCAAAAATTGCTCCAAATCGTATTTTGGCTGTTCCACTCCTGTCCAATCAATGGGTCTACTGTGTTGCCTTGTTTTTTTATTTTTTTTAAGGGATACTATAGAGCAAATTGATTTTTCATGTATTACAATTTTAGAATTCCAAAAGCACCATTCTTACCGCGGTTCGGGGCTTGGTAGGCGAGATAACGCACGAAAAGATAATGCAGGTGGAGACGGCGCTGTGAGATTCTCACACCAAACACCGTGATGTCATAATTTTTGAAGGTGTCTGCTGGCTTCTATGTAGCTTCTAATGGATAAAAGTGTCAGGAAAGTGCCAAAAAGGCATTTTGATATTTCTGACATCATGCGCAGAGATGTTGACGTGAATTTAAAAATTAAACGTCAACCTTAATTTTCTCCGCTAATAATAAACTTATGATTGTGAAGGTTGCAGATAGCAGTTTGTCAATCTAAACCAAGTCATTGTTTCTCTTTAGTGTCCCCTTAAGGCACTAAGACCCTGTTGATTTGTCTTTCATGGGACTGGGGTTGTGCCTTAGTGCATGTGAAGTCTTCAAATCTATTGGAGACCATGACTTGTATCATCATGTTTTATTTAATGAATGAATCCACCACACTTATTTTACTTCAACACGAAAGCTGTGGTTCCCATCTCATGACTGATAAGGGCTTGAGCAGCAGCGGAGGCCTGACAACTTTCTTTGTGCACTCGAGCCTCTATATAACAAGCCTGAATATAACGAAATATTGGTTATAACGAACTGAATAAAGAATACTAATTTTGCTCTGATAGTGTTAGGCTAAACCTTTATAACATATTTCCGCATATATGACTTATTTTGCTATAAGATGCAACTTTGTTATAGTGAGTGCACTTGTGATGTGAGACACCCATCTCCCTTTAAGCAAACACGCTTTTCACTGCTGCATGGGCATTCTGTTGTTTCTTTTCGTCAGTGACCTTTTTGCCAGAATCTTGATGCAGCCACTGGAATTAACACCAGCATGGAGGGGTGGTAAATTTGCTTTATACCCTCTAGGGCTCCCAACATTTTCATAGTATTGTGAGTGCCTTGCAGTAAACCAAGTTCACCTACTGCTTCCCACAACTGCTCAAATAAATTTCTGGTTGCTATCGATATGGTCGTGGATGGGGAATAAACATTTCCTAAGGCATTTGTTCAATGTGGTGTCACACATGTTGATGAATGCATGAGCCAGACACTGATAATACACTCAAACTTTGATATAACAAACACCGATGTGATGAAATATCAGTTATAATAATATGAATGAAAAATGGTTTTGTAATACATGCGCTGTTAGGAATATACCTTAATAACAAATTTTAGGATATAACAAACTTATTTTTGTGTTAGGTGCAACTTATTTATAATGCGGTTTAAGTGTATTTGCATTGTTCCCTGCATAATTCCTGTTACTCCCATGCCGCTTCTGCTTATGACTATGGCAGTGTGGACGCCACTATGTATTTCATTTTACTTGTACACTAGTTCCAGTCTTGGTCTTTGTTGTAGTGCATTTGTAGTGTTCTATGTTTAGTGTGCTCCGAAGCTCCTTATAAGGTTGCTCCAGTTTTGGCATGGTATGCTTGTTAAAACCAGAGGGCGAGTTTGCATTATCCACAATCTAAATTAACAATGGAAGGCGAGTTTGCATTATTCACATTCTAAATTAACAATGGTCATATTATCTGTGGCATTGCTTAAAAAATGTGTGCAAATATTTGCTCATGCAACATAAGTAATTTTTTGGCTGTTTTTTTTATGTCAATATTTAAGATATCTTTTATGTTTCCCTCTTTCTACAGAGACTTGTAAAGGTGAAAAGTTATCTTTATTTTGAAGAGAAGGATGAAGTACAGCAAGCCATCAAAGCTCTCAGTACACTACTGGAAGTAAGGTAAGTTTGTTGCATCTTTCTGGCATCTTGGATCTTTGCCTTCACGTTGGTCCTAGGTGCCTTCTTCCTCCCACGAGAACCTTGAAAAAGAGCCACGGGCATAGTGCAATTCATCACATATGCACTGGTCCACACATCCTGGCTGGTCTGACATAACTGTGCTATTTACCCATATAATGATCCCACTACAAATCTACTGTCACAACAAGGGCACTTGTGGTGGGATACTTTTGTTGCTTTTCAAGCTAGCCACTATGCAAAACAGTGCTGTAAAACCCTCTTTTTTATTGTTTTGCCATGAGTTTGTGATATACAAGTTTCACATAAGCTGTTATAGTCTCTTAAATACTGTTGAACTCCTTTATAAGAGTCACTGATGTAAAAGACTATTAGGTATAAAGGACACCAGTGTGCCTGCATTGAAGCAGGCCTTTGCCACATAATTAGAACATGGTGCCCTGCTTATAAGAGACAGCCCACACCATATAAGGGACTAGAGCTGCTCCCTAAAGCATCTCTCTTATAAGGGGTTCAGCAGTATGCACCGAAGCACAAAGGAGACCTACCTTTAATAGAAATTTAGGCTTTTTTCAGTAAGATGCCTTTGTTAGGATTATTGTAGATATTTAAGCATTCCAACCTGCTGCTTGATTGTTCTCTAGAAAAATGTTGTCTACGTAATGATTGCATTCTCGAAGGTGAATAAATTTTTGTGAGAATAAAAGTGTGATCACTCTGTATGTATGGTGGTATTGTAATTCTTGGGCTAGAACCATAAATGTACCATTGCTTTGTTCTCTGGTGCTACCATCCCGGGCACTAAGGGTGTGTAATAGTGGTATTTTGTTTCAGAGTGAATGGTCTTCCGGGTAAAAATAATTCCAAAGGAAATTGTTCAAATATTTCTCAGGTGTCTGGAAATTAAACCTTAACAGTGCAAATTTGTCCTTTCCAGCACTTCTGCCAGATGTATGAGGATTTATTACCGCGATAGTGTTAGAGAGGCTCGTGTTGCAGAAATGCTGCTGTCAGCGTCGGCCATCGTTGGTTGTGAAGGAAAAATCATCCATGAGCGAAAAATCGAGAAAGAAGCAAATAAAGTAAAGAATAAAATTTTCGGTTCCATTGAGGATTGAATACGGGCCGTTTGCATGGCAAGCAGGTGTCCTACCACAAAGCCACGATGTTACTTGCAGCCTCTTTGGAAAAAAACACTGCATAAATGCCATGTAGTAGAAGGAGTCTCTTTAACGCATTTTGTTCGACAGGTGTCACGACGAAAACGAGCCCATTCGGCGATTTGTAGGCGCATTTGGGAGGCCATCAAACTACGTCGAAAAAGGCCGGAATAGTGCAGCCATCGCCGCTAAAAACACACAGGAACTTCGAAACAGCTCTAAAAATGCACAACTATGTCCATCTAGCAGAAAGCATATCATGCCTTTCCAGAGGTGGTTGATCAAGCAAACAGCAAACGCTAGATAATGTGCTGCCTTCTGTGAAGCATTGTGAGACTCTTTGTGGCCTCCGAAATGACAAGCACACGGCGTGTATCTTGGAGGCCATGGGGCTCTTGCTTTAGATCGAAAACCTGTATGTACTATTCGGGCACGCATGAGCGCGCGCGTGCGTGCGTGTGTGTGTGTGTGGTGTGTGTGTGTGTGTGTGTGTGTGTGGTGTGTGGTTGTGTTGGGGGGGGGGGGGAATATAATAAGTATGCACTTAGTGGTAAAGGGCGTACTAGGGGCCACATTTGCTATCGCGTTCAACTCTTAAAGACGAAGCTTAAGGGTCCCCTAATTTGTGTGAAACACTTATGCCTTGCACAGTCGATGTGATGCCAGAAACACACATGCAGATTGTGTGCACAGCAAACAAATGTTGAGGCATTTCCTTTTTCTTCTTGTCTACACTGAAGAAAAAAATCTTTATTTGTGCACTTACAATGTGCTAATCTCAGAGAATCTTTGAGGACATATTATTGGTTCTTATCCACAAAGGAGGAATGAGGAAAACCTTGGATAATGCACATTAAAGGGAAAAAATTCTCATGTAATTGAGTTGCTCCACATACTAGGGAAGAAAGTCCTCCTTCTCAAGGTTGTCATGGCACCAACGGTGAAAATGACCTTTTGCTTGAAGCATAGGTGTGTGCCGTGTTCTTTACTAGGAAGGGTGGGGGGACAAAGTTTCGTCCCCCACCCTTCCCTCCCCCACCCGTTAGTCGAGTCCAAAAGACAACTTGCCTCAGAGCGGATGAAAAAATGAAATGATGGCAGGTTTTCACAATCTCACAATGACCTGATTTTGGTCCCCGGCTTTCCGGGAGTAAAGATGGAAACTAAACGGCTCTAAATACAACATGAGGGACCTTTATCTGCTGTCATCATCATCATCATCATCAGCTGCTAGCAGCAGCAGCATCCTGACAGCACCCACTGCAGGGCAAAGGCTTCTCCAATGGTCCACCGATCAATCCGGTCCTATGCTTGATGAGGCCAGGTTATGCCGGCAAGCTTCGTAATCGCATCTGCCCACCTAGCCCCGCCATAGGGGTCTAGTGGCTAAGGTACTCGCTGCTGACCCGCAGGTCGCGGGATCAAATCCCGGCTGTGGCGGCTGCATTTCCAATGGAGGCAGAAATGTTGTAGACCCGTGTACTCAGATTTGGGTGTACGTAAAGAACCCCAAGGTGTCGAAATTTCCAGAGCCCTCCACTACGGTGTCCTCTCATAATCATATGGTGTTTTTGGGACGTTAAACACCACAAATTATTCAATCAATCATCGTGCCCACCTATCTTTCTGTATCACTCTCGCGTGTTTCCCTTTTCTTGGAATCCAGTCTGTTACTCGAGTAGTGGTTATCTTGCCTATGTACATGCCTAATTCTTGATTTTGACTAACATGTTTAACACCTCTTTGTTCCCTGACCCACTCTGCTCTCTTCTTGTCCTTTTAAGGTTACACTTATCATTTCCTTTCCATCGCTTACCACTAGTCCTCAATTTTAGTTGAGCCCTCTTTCTAAGTCTCCAGGTTTCTGCTTTGTAGGTGTGTACCTGTAGATGCAGCTGTTATACCTCTCTCTTGGGTGATAGCGGAAACTACCATTTATGATTGGAATATGCCTGCTGAAGTGTGCTCTACCTTCCTTATTCTTGGAGTCACATCAGTCTCATGGCTTGGCTCCATGTTCACTTGTGGTCCTGAATAGACATCTTGCTTTACCAGTTCCAGTGCATCCCTACTAATAGGAAAGCACTGTTCTCTTGTGAGACTGTTGCATATTACTTTAGTTTTCCGAACATAATTTTCAGAGCTACTGCTCTGCTTTCCTTGTTCAATTCCGTAGTCATGAGTTGCAATTTGTTCTCCGAGTTACTCTTCAATGCAGTGTCATCAGCTAATCACAGTTGCGAGCTACTCATCATAACTCGTATCTATAACTCTGCCAAATCTAAGGTCCTGAAAACCTCCTCTAGGCACACAGTGAACAAAGCATTGAATTTCGCCGCTTTCTTTCGGGAGGACTATGGTGCTGTAGAGCCATTGTAGGTTTCTTCCATTATTTTTATATGTGGTTCGTCGATGCCCTAGTTTTGTAGTGCCGCTATCTCGACCCAACCAAATGCCTTCTCGTAATTCTCATAAGCTGTGAAGGCTATGGTTGCCACTGCTTATTCAGACTCGAAACGAACCGCCGAGAAGTCCAAATAATTGGGAGCCCGAAACAAAGGATTGATCAAAAAGAGCCTCTTTATTGACCCCATAGCCAGAAAAACTTATCTAAATGCCTCTGCACACACTCACTCTTAGGCATGACCAAGTCTTCCTGTATCTCAGCCAGTGTCTAGCTGTTGCTGAAGCCAGACAACTGCAGTGATACCGCCTGCATGCAGTACGCATTTGATGGCTGTGGTGCGGGCGGCGTGTCATATCGGAGTCGCTATCTGCCTGCGGCGGATCGCAGACCTGGCAGTTGATCTTATCATCGTCCAAGTCAATGCAAGGCAAGACGGCAGTGTTGAAGTTGGCGATCTTCAAACGTTCCCGCTTCCATCAACTGCACTAGCTGAAGGTCATCCAAATTGTCCACCGCTTTGGCAGACAGACTCTCAACCACGGGGTCCTGGCCTGCGGCACTGTCCTCCTTAATCTGAGTGTTAAAACCTGTGTGCATACTTGCCAAGTCTCCCGGATTGCCTGGGAGACTTCCAGATTTCGACCGTTCTTTCCGTTTGTACAGTTGTCATGAAAATATCCCAGAAATTCAAATTTCTCTGCGTGATCTGGCCGCATTGACAAAAAAGGAGCTGAATCCGCACCAGGCTTTTTGCCAACCTACGCAATTTTATTATAAATGAATTTAAGAGTTGTTCGTCTAAACTTATAGTACAATCTCAGCGGTGTGAAACTGCAGCAGATACGAATTCGTGAAATTCGCCAGTCAGGTACCACTGTGTCCATTGGGCCTAAATTCAGATGTTCCGAACACTTTTTTTAATCGCGGCGGGTGATACGAACATCATACTCAAACCGTCGAACGAAGGCCGAGAGCAGCGTACTCAAAGCTTCAGGAGTACGCATGCAACCAGCACACACACTGTCTTCTACAGTGCGCGAGGTTGTCGTTATCACAACCACTGTGGACGAAACCGCGGTCGTTCTTGAAACGATCATGTATGGTGACGACATAACTGACAGAACCCTGAAAGTGTGCGTAGATTTAACGCTCGGACCAGTCAAAGCAATGCTGCTTTCCGCAAACTCTGTGGACAAAACAGCGGCAGATGTGATCGTAGATAGCATTAAGCGACTTCTCTTGAAGGCACATGCGCGGCCAGCACACGCAGAACCGTTCGCGGCGATGTGATAGCAATCTTCGAGATCCGAGGGCACGCAGCTAACGCAGCGATAGATTAAAGGCAGTAAAGATGCAAATAGCCTAGAAGCGTTTTGACGTTCCTGCCCAAGGAATTTAGTAGCGGGCAAACCTTTGACCCTGCTTTTGCGGCAGCCAGCTGCGCCTTCTGGTCCATTCACGTGTGTCCCAGAAAGACATGCATGAGTTGCTTTGTTGAAAATAGATTTTGCTAATTGTATTTGATCCTATAAGACTCTCACCTTCATGGGTAACCTTATCCTCATGAGTTCGGCCACTCCAAGCCACTATATAACTGCAACGCTGATGTTGGCGCTTGTGATTGAGACCCCAGCTCCTCTTGTTTTTTGGGATGTTTCATTGCAATAGCCATTATATGGACACTCTTGGCTGGATTTTTCCGTCGGCATCGCCATCACTCACCGTATATGTATACGCAACTTGGGGCTTCTGAAACGTGAGTGCGAGGCATTCACCACTGAGCCACAGAGGAGCACCTCCTTCAACGTGCAAATGGCAAGCTACCTGTATCTACCACTTATCGCTGCTGACGGGCATCTCGGGAGAAAACTATAGTGTTTTTAGCATTACAAGCAAGATGGCGCAACGAGCCATCATCACGATGCGGCGCGCGCTCTCTCATCTCGCATGCATACTTTGGTCCGTGGAGAGAAGGGGCAACGCTCACTTGTGCACCCTTATTTCGCGATGGGGAGGATCGTACGTCTTGGTGGGCCTTGGGCTTTCAGGAATGATTCTGTTATTGGTACTGGGTGCACAAAGGTCACTGCAAGCGTTGCACAGTCTCCGTTTGTGAAAAGGGCACACTTTTCAGATTCAGCGAAGTAACAACTGAGAGGCTTATTCGCGTTCATCTGTTCCTGTGATTACGTCATTTTTGCGCGAGAAAAGTGGGGCTCGTTTCGATCTGCTTGCCATTCTGCACCTAACTTTCCAATTTGTTGCTATTGCGTTCATTGCTTCGCCTTTGCGGAAAAGTTGTGACTTTTTTTGTTTTCTTTCGGTGCTGAAAAAATTGAGGCAAATAATTCAGTGCAACCCCCTCTCCCCCCCCCGTTGCGGAAATCTCCCGGATTCAGAACCCTTGATCTTGGCAAGTATGTGTGTGGCAAAAGCAGTGCAGATAGTTCTCTCAGTGGCTGCCTTCGAGGCATCAGCCAAGATGCTGATGGCCGATAGCACATCAGTCTTGTAGCTCTTGTAGCTGGGACGCTAAAAGCACACGATTCCCTAGGCGCAATTGATAATGCACTTTCAAGTTCTTGATCACGCCCTAGTCCATAGGCTGCAGCACGCTTGTCATGTTTGTTGGAAAGAACTCTATTGTGATGCTTTAAGGTTGTTTATATGTCTGTGTTTATAGCTCAAGAGGTTTATTAGACCTAGCTGGGAAGCAACTGACAATGTCTGTGCCAACACACTAACAAAAAGACCACACAATGTCATGAGTGCACTCCCTACTTGGTTTGGCTTGGCTGCAGTTGGCATTCAATGACCACATGACTGGCTAAAGCCAAAGGACATGTCGTCAACATAGCCTTCGAGATCAACCATTGTGCGTGTATATTGGCCCTGGCTTGACATCCCTCCATAGCTAGTTCAACATTTCAGTGCTGGCAACCTAGCAAGTGTATTGTAAAATCACTGATAGCATGTCATGGCGTATGCGCCGCAACCGATCTGAGTCCAAAAAGTCGAACAATGCGCTGTGAGTTGTTCGAATTTTCGGTCGTCAGTTTTCATTAGCTTAAATGGGGCGAGTTGCGGGCCGTGATGGTATCCAAAAACGAGCGTGTCTGAATTTTCAGTGAGCGCATAAATGGTCGGCGACCTATATGGGGGTTTGTTATATTTTGTGCATTTTGATAGCATCTAATTGATTGTGTGAACATAGTCTCGTGTTGAGTAGCCTGTAGAGGAGCCTGCTTTTTTCATTGTTTGATTGAATTCTAAGTGGTCTTAATTCTCTTAGCTGTTATATTTTTAAGTATCTTGTTGACAATAGATAGTGAGCTAATTGGCCTGTAATCCTTCAAGTCGTTCATTTTCTTTTTATTTTGCATTAAGATGATATTGGAACTCTTTCAAAATTTTGATACCCTCCCACTGTCAAGATACTTTTTATTCAGTGTGGCTAGTTTTATCTAACACAATCAGTCCACCATTTTCAACAATCTGATGTTTACCAGTAGCTTTGCGTCTTTGCATTCCCTCCAAGGCTTTCTTTACTTCCTTGTTGTTACTGGTAGTATGTCGTATTCCTCTTGGCTATTACTATTTTTTTCATTATTTCCCCTGGTTGGCCCAGCTATCTCACAGATCTCTGTAACGCTCCTCAGCTACTTTAACTAACCTGTTCGTATTGGTGGTGATGTTACCTTCCTTCTGACGTTACCTTCTACGCACACATAAATGTTGCAAACACAAGCATTGTGTCTTGATTGTGTTTTTTATTGTGATAGCAATTATATGGACACTCTCCGCTGGATTTGGCCGTTGGCGTTGTCGTCACTCACCGTATATGTATACGTATCCGTATATATGAAAACTCAAGAAAGAAAAATATCCAGGAATACACTTCGGCGTTCGGAATCGACCTGGAATCTCTGAAACATGAGTGCCAGGCGTTAACCACTCTCGCTAAAACAGTAACTGTGAACTTCGATCATAATGGTCGCTGGTGCACAAGCTATCTCAGCAGACATCAGCAAATGGCTTGTATACGGGCTGTCTTTTAACTGCTTACTTCGTGTTGAGAAGATGGACAGCAGCCCTAGAGCAACCATATTTCCTTACACCAGTCTTTTGCACAGTTACATGAGATCAGATCCAAAGAGTTAACTGCAAGCCTTACTATGTATAACTTTAAAGTTTGTTGCTATCGCATTCATTGCTTTGCCCTTGTGGCAACACTGCGTTATTGGGGGGGGTCTTTTAATATGAACATGTTAGGTGAGTTTTAGCGGCCCTAATCAAGTCGCAACATTGGCTGCGTTTTATATGCTGAATAATTCTAAGTGCGGATACAAATGATTTCAAAGTAAGAGTTATTAGGTTAGGTATTATTTAAATAGAGATTGAAGCTCGAATATTCACACACCCCTGCGGTTATGTGGTGCGATTACACTTAATAAATCAATAGATATTGCCTGTTCATAAATTGTGTGGTTATAAGTGAAATGGCCTGTTTTTATTTGGCAGATTACATTTTATAAGAATGGGGAGTGTGCTGGAACAGCTTGGAAGGATATTTATGAAGGAATGTACTACCCAGCTGTGTCTCTTTACAAGGGGTGCACGGTAAGCCCTTTTTCATACATTTTTCTGTTACGTACTTGAAATATTTTCTTGAACGGACTTGCATAAAAACTTTTATAAAGGCTTTTTGTCACAGTCTACTGGTGATTGGAATAATGTAGTTTTGATAACGCATTTTGTTCATATTCACAGAAGAAACTATGTATAAGAATATTTTTTATGTCATTCATAGAAATAGAACATCATTAGTTTTCATGGTGTGAAGTAGAAGGTGCAGAGACAACGGATGAAATGGTAGACACACACAGGCCGCCTTTGTGTGTGTGTTTTCATTTGTCTTCAAATCATGCAAAAACAACACGCCCAGTTGTCACCTTTCACATAGTAAGTTCTCCTTTCACATGATAATCCAAATTTCAAAGGGGGACATCTTGACTGCCACAATGTTTTTTTTTTTTTCACTGCGTGGCACGAACACACCATTTTTGCCACTTTCCATCTGACACTAGCAGCTGTTCTCCTTGTTTTATATAGCTGATTTGTATAACATTGAAAAGTTTGTTCTTTGTACATTTGAAATATGACTAATAAAAAACAAGTCAACCATTACTATTTGAAGATGGCACAGGCAAGGATGAGCAGTTACACAGTTTGGGCTGACTGTGCCTCAGCTATGACCATATTCTGAAAAATCTGCTACACTTACAGCACTGTTTCTGCGCAGCTCATTCAAGACATATTTATCTATTTTGTCAACATAAGAAATGGATTTAGGACTTCTGCTTTATTGTTACTCATTGTTTTAAAACAGCCAAATTTAGTAACTTTACTGGTAAACTGTCCCCTAACTACTCGCTAGAGAAAGTCTATTTTAGATAGATAACATTCCCTAAAGGAGTGCCCAATTTCATTGATCTATGCATGCTCATGTTATGCTAAATTCATCTAAATTTGGCAGTATTCTCAATCATAGGCTGACAAACTTACTCATTAGTTGACTCACTCAGATCAAGCCGCGAGTCTGGATCTGACTGAGTCTGGATGAGTAATGTTTCAGTGAGTTTAAGTCCGACTGAGTTCGAAACCACGAAATATATTTCATTAGTGGGGCTAAGTGAGCTTCAAAAGTTTTTCCCATGCATGTTCTCAATACATGGACCTATCTTGGCCCATTTTTATGGAAGGCTTCTAAAGTTCTATGGCTAAATTTGCGCAAAGACAAACTAGAGCCCCAGATCTATTTCGTCAACATAGCATTTTCAATAAAGTCAGCAGAAATGTGAAATGAAGCTCATAAATTGTCTTAATTCGGGCTTTGTCTTAATGTCAAAAACCGCGGTATTCTCCAAACTGCGCTGAAATCTCGGCATGTACATAGCTTAATATACAATGGTTCCGGTCTGCTGATATAACTATATGCACGAATCATACGTAAATTATGCAGGACCACTGAGAAATTGGCATTTTTTTTCTCACTGCAATGAAATACTTTCCTCTAGTGCCATTGAATGTCACTGTGTTCGTCGGGACACAGTGACGTTCAATGGTAGCCTTTGGCCGAGAATTTCAGGCACGTGCCTCTAGGCTTGTGCTGCTGCACTTGACGGCTGGAACCAACAGCTGTTCGCTTCTTATCTGTGGTAATGCATGTTGCTGTGCATGCGACCCGAACATCTCTCTATCTTTGCACAACCAGCTGCGCATTCCGACACTGAGTGTCGCAGTAAGCAGCTGGCAGTGAGGCAGTATTGGTTCTACAGCCAGCAAACCAACAGCAAACTGTAGTGGTTTGCAGCGTATTGTTTCTTGCGTGCCCCGCAGCGGACGGGTGACTAGTGAGGGTGGGTTTAAGAGGTGGAGAAATAGAGATCTTGAAGGGGAGAGAAAAAATCCCCTGATACTTGGCTCATTTCTCCAAACATTGACGGTACGCTTCACTTCCCCTCCCGGCTGCTGACCCGCAGGTCGCGGGTTCGATTCCCGGCTGCGGCGGCTGCATTTCCGATGGAGGCGGAAATGTTGCAGGCCCGTGTACTCAGATTTGGGTGCACGTTAAAGAACCCCAGGTGGTCAAAATTTCCGGAGCCCTCCACTACGGCGTCTCTCATAATCAAATTGTGGTTTTGGGACGTTAAACCCCACAAATCAATCAATCAATCAATCAATTCACTTCCCCTCCTTATCCAATGTGGTGCGCCAGCCCAAGTTTAGAAGTTTGACCCCTCAGAAGCATTGTCCTTTTGTTCCCGACTTAGTGGCTTCATTTGGTGTCTCTAGAGGAACTAGTGGCAAGATGGCAACAGTGGAACCTCCACCTTAATAGATTGCTATAAGGTGCTCTAAGAAACTGAACAAAATGTTTGACATGCTTTCAGCATGGTGTGATAATGTCGGAGTGTGGAGCTTTCAATGATGGCAGTGCGTTTGCTTTCCGTAGATCTATTATATGTTTGCAAACAGCGGCAGGCACCATCAATATACCGTAATTACTGGAATCTAACGCGCACCTTTTTTCCGGTTAAGCGAGTTCATAAATCGCATGCGCGTTAGAATTGAGTACGAAAAAAAAATGAATACGGTCATTCTATTGCCATCGGCATTTCCAAAATGGCCGCCCCCTACGTGCGTCAGCATGGCGCGTCGGCCATTTCTGCCTATGTGTTTCCCGTGTGCGGCACTTCGTACGTGTGCTGAGTAGTGCATTAGTATCGATGGCATGGAAGGGCCGACTCCAAAAACTCGGGTGCATCACGATGCTGCTTTTAAAAGAAAAAGTCATAGCGTGTGTAGAAACGGCGGCAATGGGCCGCATCGCGGCCGTTCGGAGTTCCCGAAACGTGCGTGCGGGACTGGCGGAAACAAAAGCAGAAGACTGTCGACAGCAAAGCTTCATGCAAAGGCTTCAGTGGACCACAGCAGGGTCGGTTTCCGCAAATTGAAGAGCTGCTCGGCGAGTATCTGCTTGAGCAGCGAGTGGCACAGCGGGCCCGTGACGACAGAACTGCTCCAAGTGCGGGCTATGCAATTAGCCTTAGAAAAAGGTCTAATGCGGAGCCAGTTTAAAGAGAGCAGGTGCTGGCTAACTAACTTTATGAAGAGGAAAGGCTTTTCCCTTCGAAGGGGAACGGGCATATGCGAAAAGTTTTGCGGAGGAGTACGATGAAAAGCTTCACAGTTTTCAGAGGTTCGTCCTAAACTTGCGTAAACTTGTGGCACGACAACGGCTACCTGCTAGGGCAAATCGGGAATGCCGATCAGACGCCTCTTTACTTCGACATGCCTGGCACCACAACCGTCGAGAAGAAGGGGGCGAAGCAAGTTCGCGTGCTGACATCGGTCCACGGTAAAACTACAGTGACGGCAATGCTCTGTTACACGTCAGATGGGCACAAGCTTCGCCCGTACCTCGAGTCATATTTAAATGGAAGACGCTCCCGAAAGGAGTCGTTTTTTCGAGTGGTGTGATCGTGCGGGCCATCGAGAAAAATGGGTGTGCATTGCAATCGATGTCTTACTTTTTTTTTTTGTTGTGGAAATTGGGTGCGCGTTACAATCGAAGGCGCGGTAGAATCGAGTAAATACGGTATGTAGGTTTGTTGTAGCCACATTGCAGCACATTGGCTCCGCCCAGCCATCCCAGCTAAAAGTGCGCCATCATTCTTAGTGGTCCCGTGACAACTGGTGCAGCAGGTGCGAAAGCTGCCTCCTAGCACACCACATCGGGACACTTTCCACATGTTTACAAGCGTTGGTTGCAACAGAGAAATTTGCAGTGGCTGTAAGAGGGGCTTTGAAATGAATATATGAGCCATGTTGACGTGTAGCACTAGATTTGAGATTCCATCAAAACATGAGGCATGTTAACGACAAGAATGTGGCTCATTTGCAAAATGTTATCGCTTTTGTGCCAGTCTGCGTCACACATGTACATGTTAATTTCATAAATAATGCAAGAACGACAGACCCAGTTCAGAAATAGGCTCTAGGGTAGGATATATACAATATACAAATGCGGTGTAAAAATACATAGCCCTGAATTGTTGTGATAAATCCTCGCATATAACAAATGTGCAGGAGAAGTTATTCACGCAAACAACAAGGGCATTCTCAGTGACACAATCATTCGCAATACGCTTAGGAGAATGCTTCAACTACATGCTGGAAACAATGCGGTTACGTAGCGGCTGCCAGATTCATGCCTCAATTTATATGCTCAAGGCTTAAATGCGAAATGCCTGCAGACCATAAACAGACTCTGCAAGTTTCCTGAGTGCTGTTTTTTTTTTTGTGAATTATCACAGACATAAAAATATTGGAAGTGTACCGCAACCAGAACAGCTCTGCCCAATACACTTCTGTCAGGTCTGTCATTGCAGTCGTATATAATCATTAAAGGCACAGTCAAAGTCACCCTTTCTTTTGCTGCTGCTTTAATGAACCGTGCCCGTACAAAAAGAAACACATGCTTTATGACCGAGTGAAACCTTTATTTCACTTGATTATAACAAAATATTTTTTTAACAATCTAAGACTTCTGCAGTTATAGCAACAATGGTAACCACGAAAAAATCTTTGTATATGGCAATGCTAAGCACAACATTAACGTGCTTTGAGGTAAACGTGTTCGATATGCTTCCACAGAAGGCTTACTACAAGAAATGTGGTACGGCACATTACACTGACAAACGCTTGACAGAGTTAATTGATATGCCTCCACAGAAGGCTTACTCCAAGAAATGTGGTACGGCACATTACACTGACAAACGCTTGACAGAGTTAATTGTTTTTGCTGGGTGCCGCTCCAAACATTACTGAAGATGCGGTGTCGAAGGCAAATTCTCATGTTTTACAGCTGCGGCTAATTATCTTGTGACAGTTTTCGTGAACAGAAAATTGGAAAAAAGATCACCTAGCGCATCCTTCTTGTGCCTTTTCGTGGAAGTAACTGTGACAGCTCGTTGGTACACTGTTTTTTTTTTTCTTCTTCTTTGCACGACGACAAAAAGCACACGCACTAGTGAAAACACAGCAGCAACTGGTGGGCACGGCGGCTTTTGCCTACCGCGTCAAACTAAATGCCCGACAACAGGGCCACCGCATTTTCATGACATGTGTCCAGCAGAATTTATCTATAGCTGTTGTAAGGCTGAAGGGGGAGATTGGCCCCAACTTGTTCACTGGGCCATGCTAGTGGTGCATGCCTAGAGCTACTCCAACCATCAGTTCATCCGAGGTGTGAGTATCTGAAGGGATGGAGAATAAGCACTGACCCGGTAAACCAACACACCACTTGCACATACAAATGATATGTGGTGGGCTCGTCCTGTCAGATTTGTGCCTTCGTCGTGAGTTCCCTTCAGTGTACAGATTGTTCTTTGTATTTGGCGTTGGTTTAAAAACAATGGCACGGGCTGTGCAAAGGTGTAGTAGTGGCAAAGGTGTAGTAGTGGCAAAGGTGTAGTAGGTCTAGTAGATACGCTAGTAGTGGATAACGAAGGTAAAAGTACAACAAGTGGTAGGAAATTTTAGTAGAAATATACAATACCGTATTTACTCGCGTAATCATCAGACTCGTATAATTCTCGCCCCCCCCCCCCCCCACATTGGCCAATAAAAATACGATTTCTTTTTTTCCTCGAGTAATTATCGCACCCCCGAAAACTGCTGCAATAATGTCGTCTGCTCGTTACAACCACTGATGATGATAGCAAGTGCCGTCTGGCGCCATCTCTTAAGCATCAAGCGTACTATCATTGCACGGAGATTCAATCCAATTCAATCCAAGCGAAGCCAGAAGGGCAAGTGCGCGTTGCGGCATGTTTTATACCTTGTGTCGGTAATCTTGTCACGTTATGGGGCAATACTGATGCTACACGGCAGCTTTAAGTTGAAAGTGATAGATCATGCGCTAAACAATGGCAACAGGGCCGCCGGAAGGCCCTTCGGCGTCTACGAGTTTTGTGTTCGCTACTGGTGATGGCAGCTGAAAGCCACCAAGACGAGTTGGGCCTGCCATGTGCGTATAAAACTGGGATTGATGGTAAACTTTATTTCTTCAAAAGGACACTGTGGACGATTGTTAAATAGCTATCAGCTCAATACACACGTCCTACGCTTACATTTTGTGTGCTTCCGTTGAGCGAGGAACGCCACCGCTACGCCCATAATGCCCGCAAGCTTTGCGTATGGTATTCTGATTCCCAACTAATTGCTCGCACTTATTGTGTCTCAAATAAATCTTGCCTTGTGTTGAACCTGTGCTTTTATTGTTGAGGTAAATTTTAATTAGTACTTTTCAAAGCTTGCTGTTAGTTGCTGGTGTGAGAATCCCGATTTCCGGCCACTTCGTTTTTTTTTTTTCGCTCTGTACGTTTTCGTGGAATGTTTTCCCCACGTAATTATCGCGCCCCCCAACTTTGCATCGGTTTTCCGCAAAAAAAAGTGTGAGAAATATGCGAGTAAATACGGTATATGATTACAAAAAATAAATAGAAGATTTGCAAAACAGCAGATAAATTATGTTAAAGGTTGTCAAATGATTTTATTTTAAAAAGTTAGTTATAATTTTTAAATGATAAAGAAATGATAATTATTTAAAAGGCTGTCAAATGAAAGGGAGGGGAAACTGTATTACTCGAGGCAACAAAAGAAACCCAATTGTGTGATGCTTACGACCAATCAGCACCTATTGATTTCGATGACACATTGGGGGCTTGCCATGTTTTAGGTGTGCCAATGATATATTGAAGTCATTGGTCTCATTTGCATCCATAGAATGGGGCCGAGTGACTAATTTGGACTCGCGGTACATTGGGGTCATATACTGCCAAATAGCTAGCTGTATTATTCTTTATTCAATGGCTCCTGCTTAATTTTAGTCCCTAGACAATTAGGGCGATTTAATTGGTTCCATCAGCGTCAAAATAGCTTTAAGTCGATTGTATTTTCGGTTCTAGGTGCGTCTGAACTTTGGGCCAAACTTCAAGCACAAGCCAAAGGATGTATCATGCATGGGAGTGAGTACAGAATTACTTCATTTCACTAGTGGGCCTGCCTTAGAACATAAGCTTCGCCCACTTCAACTTTGCACAATGCATGGTTCCCACTTGTCAGCTCGACTAGGATGTATAAGTAGTGCAAAGTCCAACTACCCTTCTCAATTGGCTGCAAACCTATTGGGGATCCAAACTTAATTCTCGAGCACATTGTATGTATTTTACTCATGTAACCCTGAGAAAAACAACCAAGAACTTCTTCATTGATCCAACATACTTGTCATGGGCTCACTTGACCCTTAGAAGAAATAAAGGTGAGCGCTACAGCAGCACACTACCACAATGTGTCTTTGATACCACTACCGCACTGTACGTAAACTGCTCCAACCAAAAATGGGTAATTTGAAATCTTTGTTGCCGCTTTCTATACTGTGAGAGCCATGCTGTTGCGATAAGCGTAACTAATTGCTCCAGCTCGATTCATTGCATCATGGCAGAAACTGGTAAAATATTAGCTTAAAGCTTTCATAGAACAAACTTGTCCTTTTTCATGAGTATCATTTCACACGTGGTACTTAGGAAGTGGTTTATTTTAATAAAGCTGTCTACTTTTGTATTATTATTTGTGCTGTTGCTACACCAGACTGCCACAATTTAAAGCCTGCTGCATTCTGCTAATTTTCTATAAAAACTGGTAAATCTGCACCCTGTACAAATATCAAGCTGCAACATTCAGAGACGGAAGCAGCTGTTTTAGCAAGGATTGTCCAATTCCTTAAAGGGGCAGGCAGCATGGGAGCCAACAGGTTCGCAGCACATGCTGTTGCCTGAGCCATGCTAAGCAGCAGCACAAGCAGCAATACATAGGCCTGGTTCACGGAGCATGCAACAATCTGAGCCAGGCCTAGCAGCAGTTTTCAGCACAAACAGCTATACTGGAGAGCACTAGATTGGGAGAGCAGGTCCTCTGGAGCGAGCGGCCAGTGGCACTGGTGGAGCAAAAAGCGCGGAAAATTCGCAATGGTGCTGCAGTCGCCTTCACCTGAAACTCCGGCTCATCCAGGCTGTTGGGCTGGTAGAGCAGTGGCTAGCAGCGCCAGTGGCGACTGCGGGAGTGCTGAGCTGTCGTCTGCCTGGTGCGACATTGTCTGCTCAACGCACTGCTGTTCGCGCGTTGTTTTTACAGTTTGTTCGCTAGGTACTTTCAGCTTTCTTAGTGCTAAACAAAAGAATCAAATACAGTGAAGCTAGCCTTCCTGCCGTTAGGCACGAGCACTGTGTTCAGCAAAATTACCATAGTGCCTTCCGTTAGTTGTATTATTTGCGAAACGTTGTGCGATGCCGTTCACAGCTTTGCACGAACGCTGCTGCAACGCTGCGGGATACGCTTGAGATGCAGCTGATGCACGACGGCTGGAGACCGTGAAGCAGCCGCCAGTGGCCGTAACCAAGGCAACATCAACGGTAACCATGGTAACCTTCAGGTGAAGGTGACGGCAATACCACCTGAATTATCAGAAAAAGATGCCTCAGCGCGAAGCCCTGTGTGGACCCACTCCTTCATTCTAGTACACTCTAGATATGCCTACGCTTGGTGCTCATTACTTACAAAGCCAAGCAACAGCTTGCAGTCCAAGCAGCAGGGCAAAGCCGTGGCTCACAGCCCATGCAACAGTCTGAACCAGGCCAAGCAGCAGTCACAGTGCAAGCAGCAACACGTTGGCTTGTCTCACAGTGTATTTAGCAGTCGGGCCTAGGCTAAGCAGCAGTGCGCAGCGCAAGAGAAACACACAGGCTTGGCTCAAAGTGCATGCAGCAGCTTTAGCTAGGCCAAGCAGCAGTGAAACATGAATGTAAACATTCAATAGAAGTCTGTCTGGTTGGGTATGAAACTGGGAAATGATTTAGACTCTAATTGAAAGTTTTGAAGAAACCCGACGTTTCGAAACCGACTTGGTTCCTTCCTCAGGGATGACTGCGGGACTACGCAGCAGCGGCGTCTTCAAAGCACTTGCAGGGCAGATAATTACCCCCTCTCTCACGTTTTGCCGTGGAGCGCAGTTCATGTGTATACAATGAGAGAAGGGTTCCGAGAGCGCGGTTGATGTTATGGGCTGTCCTGTCTATGTGCCACGACTCGAGTAATAACCTTCTCCTCCAGTTCGGCTTGCTCTCAAGGATGGCCGTTGCTTCAAAATTTATCCGGTGATCCAATGTCTCAGCATGTTCGGCAACTGCGCTGCGCTTTTTGTAGAGCTTCCGCACATCGTTGGCGTGTTGCTTCAGTTGTTCCGGTAGGTTTTTCGTCTCTCAGATATACGAAGAAGGGCACGCGGCGCACGGAATTTCGTAAACGACTGTCCATTGTTGGCCGGTCTTTCGGGCGGGGGAGGAGGCGGCCCAGTGCACACGAAGGCACGTGCGCGATGCAAACCCCTTCCTTCTTGAAGATCTGCGCCAAGATCTCGCTAGTTCCTTGAACGTATGGGACCGGTATGCGTTCCAGTCCGGCATACCGGTCCCATGCATACCAGAACTGTGCAAGTCATGGAAGAAACAAATTCTTTAATTATGGGTAGCTCGTGCAGCAAAGAGTTTGTTTGTGCTTCGTATTGACCTATTTGCTTGAATAAACGGCACAGCAACACAAAACATGTAGTGAGGAGCAGCACACTTACAGTGGAGAAATGGGCTGTGCAGTGAAGCATTGGAAAGAGGGCTGCCACAGTCTTTGAAAAATGGGAAAGGCCTCCCAATTATAACATGCGTGTTTTATGAGAAGCTGAAAGTGAAGAACGCAAGCAAAGTTTTGTGTGTTTGGAGATACAGATCCACTTTTCTCAATCTTGAGAGAATGTGACAGACTTTTGGAGTTTTTAATTCAATTTTATGTTGGTATAGTTTATATTTTTAATTATCAGCATGCTTGATTAAATTTGTGATTCACATTTAGTTTAAAATATTCGTGTTTGACTTCAGTACTTTTGTGGTTGGGGTTGCCAAAAATTTTGAAACTTTGTTTTAAAGCAAGGAGTAGTAGAGTTGGGCAACGGTAAGCATTGTGTCTGGACAAGCTGCCTCTTGCAAAAGATTGGTACTCTAGGGCTTCGCTACATTGCCATTAAAGAATGATTTACTCTTTCTTACTTTGAGCACTTTTTTTTCCTTTTTTGTTTACTTTATGCAGATGGATGAAAGTGTCGACAAAGTCATCGTGCAGCAGACCATGTCCGATATGCTTTACCTTGTGGAAAATGAAAGTCAGATGCGGTTGGATGCCATCTACTTCTGAGTGGCAATGTGTTCTTTCATCTTTTTTCTCATGACATGTACAATAATTTTCACTTCAAAGGAAAGGTAGCATATGTGCACAAACAGTTATGTACCAATATTTTCATCCTCATTGACAAGTTTTCGATTATTCAATTAAACATACATACTGAAGTTACGCATGTTGTTTTAGATGATGCGAATTATTTTACAAAACTTCTGAGAAAGTCAGGCCATCTTGTTTTTGCATATAAATTGTATGTTCAGGTTGAAACAGTTTACCGCAGCTGAAATGACATTTTCATGGCTAATTATCAAAAAAGTCTTAATTAACTATTCTAACTTCTGAGCTGAGGGCACTTTTTCATTATAGTAGTTTAGTTTTTTGACAATTGATGGCATACCAATTTTTTTTAGAAATCATGAGAGTTGCTTGTAATTTGAGATGTTTATTTAGGGATTTGGATTTTAGTGTCATTATAAAAACTGAATGCACCTGTCATGCAGGAAATGTGAACTCTCTGTTATGTCACACTTAAACTGCCTGTGGCAAAGTGATAAAATTTGAAATAATGCGTATTGCAGCAAAATCTGGTCAAGGAAGTCAGCAAGTACTCTAAAATACACACAGCTTCTTTGCATGCCATGTGTAATACTTACCTGTTTTAAATCCGAAGCATTTGGCCATCCATTCATCCATCCGCCTACAAATTTTAGCTCTCCTGGCCGTTTCGATAAAAGTATTAATACCAAAGTTGGTATGGAATAACATGATGGTATGGCGAGCATAAGTGACTTGTCATAACATGAAAATTGTGACATGCATGCCATGAATGTCATGATTTATATTTCATGGTCTTGCTACTCTTTTGATGGTTTCGTTCACATGGCATATTGAAAAACAGGTGTGGCATGACATGGCTGCATGGCGAACATAAGTGACAGACTCTAACGTGAAAATCATGACATGCATGTCATGTAAGTCGTGACTACACGCCACGCTCATGGTGCGTTCGCAGTCGCTTCACTAGCTTCACATATACCAAATTTGGAATTACGGAACCTGGATCGATGGGAAAGGTAAATTACGCGTCCAAACATGAAAATCCTGACATGCATGTTATGTAAGAACATGACTAAATGTTACACTCATGATGCACTCGCGGCCGTTTTGCCAGCTTCACATATACCAAATTGGTTCATGATACAGTCGTGCCCACATAGAACGGCCCCACTTAAAATGAACTTTTGCTTAAAACGACTATATCCACGTGACCATGAAAATATACATTGGTTCAATGGCACAAAATCGCACTTACAACGAATGTCTCCGAGCGCCACCGATTGGTTATAGCGAACAGGGTTGGCGTTCAGCTGACTTCCCAGGAAACCACTTTCGACCACCCATCAGGCATTGGCGAGGTGCCCATACATTCTTATTGTTAAACGCCGACCCTGCCTTCGCTCCCCTCTAGTTGCTGCTCTCCCCGACCGCTTTTTGTTACGCACCCCTCCGTGCCTTGTACCTCCCGCTACTCTGAGCACCCCGTATCGCCAGACAAGGCCCGTGTTTTCACACTGCCACTGATCTTTCAAAGACCGGTCGGCTGTTTCCTCTGTTTTCGATCGCTGGTACTGTCGTTGGCGTCGCCAGCCTGGAGTGACTAGACCATTTTGCCAACATTGTCGGCCATCGACTGTGTCTGATCGTCTGCGTCTAGTGCACGTGCGTGCGCTACCTCACAGACTTTGATAATTCGCGATTCGTTTTGTGTTTAGGACCTGTTCTCGCTCACTTCGCATTCGGCTCAGCATGCCCTCCGCACGCATGCGGAAGCGTGTCCCGGGATCGAATCCGAACTGCGGCAGCTGCGTTTTGATGGAGGGAAAAATGCTTTAAGCCTATGTGCTCAGATTTGGGTGCACGTTAACGAACCCCTGGAGGTCAAAATTTCCGGAGCCCTCCATTACGGCTTTTCTCATAATCATGTGGTTGTTTTGGAACATTAAACTCCACATATCATTCAATCATGACATGCGCTTTATGTAAAAACATGACAACATACCATGCTCATGATGCGTTTGTGGCCGTTTCGCTAGCTTCACATGTACCAAATTCAGTATTACGTGACTTGATTTGGCAAAGTCTAAACATGATAAGCATGACGTGTGTGTTATGTAAAACATGACTAGCTATTCTCATAGCACGCACGTGGCCGTTTTGCTAGCTACACATGACCAAACTTGGTATCACGTGAGGTGAATAGATTACGAAGGAAAATGACACGTCCAAACATGATAATCATGACATGGCCGCCGTGTAAAACATGGCTACATGCTACGCTCATAGCGTGCTCGCTGCTTTTTGCTAGCTCGACATATACCAAATTTGGCATCTCCTGACGTGAATAGACGATGAGGGTAAATGACATGTCCAAACATAATAATCATGACATGAAAGTCATGTGTGGCATAATTTGCATCAGCCTCGTATTTGACAATAAATTCTCCAAGTCAACCTTCCTTATTCATGCTTCTCATATTATCGATTTCCATTTTACGTGGGATCTGTCCTTTTTTTTTTTTTTTCACCTGTAGATAGGTGTGAAAAACTATTTCACTGTTATGCAAGTGCCACAGTGCCTGGCCTAGAGTTCCTTGCTTCACTAAGAAAGAAAAGGTTGACATCGCCGTTCCCTTGTGCTCTGCTCGAAAGAAATAGATGCGCATCAAGGACTATGTGCAAAAGTAAGACGATCCCCTGGTGCAAGTTGGGTGCTGACTTGCTACATATCATGAACAAATATGACTGAAATCTGCCGTTATTCAAATTTTATCAGTTCTTTGTCATGGAAAATTTCAGTCTAACTTAGAAGAGTTGTTTCATTTTCTGCATTTAAGGTCGATCGGTTTTGATACGTATTAAAATTTAATTATGAATTTCTCAAATTAACTGCAACTTTAGTGATTTCTAAAAAATAGGTTCGCCATAAATTGTCGTGCCCAGCTTTCAAATATAAACAGCCCTTAAGTAGATAACTAAAAACTTATTTAATGGGACTTTTTGTTATTTGGTCACTTCAATGTCATTTTTATTAAGGCAAAGTGTTTCTGCCTCAACAAAGGTTGTGTGCAATGAGAACAGGACCGTTATTTTTACAGAATTTTATAGAAAAATTTATTTTGTCTAGAAAATACACCCTGTTTGTAAAGCGAGTTTCACACGAGGGAGAAATACGCGGGGAATAAAGGCAGAGCCTAGTGACGTCAACCGGCGAGGATAAGTCCCCCCAATTGTCCCTCACTCACACGGACAAGGCGAACGGTGGAAGAGATCAGTGTGGCCAGAGCCTCCACCATATAATGGAGCGGGAGCACTGAAGAATTCTTTGACCCCCAGCCATAAATATCGGCATGCTTTCGTCTTGGAGAGGGAGGGGGGATTTAAAGCCGCGTTGTGTCTTGACTGGAGAAGGAGGAAAGCGATGGTGTTTCTTGGGTGAGGAAAGTGCTGGTGTGATTTGAGGAAAGTGCCCGTTTTGCACCGCCCCCCTGCCGCTTTGCTGCTTTTAGAAACTTTCTTCTTTATATGTCTTTTTTTGTGCGGAATGCAGACGTGGTGTTGCTCGTGGTTTGACTCGCCAATACAAGCTTTTCTTTTTTGCAAAAACGAACTCCCCCAAAGCAACATTCCGGGCAGCGTCATTGACAACGGCTTTTCTTTTTTTTTTTTTTTTTTGACTACGAAATTGCTCACAGTCTCTCTGACTCATCAGATACTACTATTGAGTTGGTAGATAGGAATTTCAGTATCTTTCGATAACGGTTGGCTTTCTGTGAACGAAGGAGTTATGCTATCATTGCATTTCTCTCATGCGAACAGTCGAGAACAGAAGGGATCTAGACTATTAATATTTGACAATTACGTGTATAATATTTTCATTATAATTTCAAAGCACAAGGTAATAGAAGACCACTTCAGTCTTCACTATGCGAACTCAGCCTAAGATTCTGCTGTATTAGTACAGCCAATAAAGTAAAATGTGAAGTACGTCACGTTTCTGAAAATAAAAAGCAGCTCTCGAATTCTATGGCTGCCTATACTTTAAGTGTCTAATCTTGAATAATGAGGCCTGTTAAATATTTTCGTTTTAGAGTAAGACATCTCCACCAGGCTGAACAAACAGTAGTAGTAGCAGTAACAACAACAAAAGTGGGCGATGTCACAATTCTTATCAGAATAACCACTTTAAACAAAACTAAATATCACTTCATAGAGATGGTAGCACTCCATCATCTGCTTGACTATCATTTCCCACACACCATTCTTTAGGTTAGTTTTATTATAGTCATCGGAAAAGATGTCCCACAAGCGATAGTATTCTTCTACAAGAGAAAAGAAAAAAAGTTTTTTCATCATTCATTTTCGCCATCACGGTGCACGCAAGTCCGAAGCGTAATTTGGAACAGCCGCCGCCGCCGGGCTCTGCAGGAGAGAGGGCTACAATGGGGCTAGAGACCCATCTAAAATTTCGCTACATCCCCCGCTGCTTGGGAATAGTTTGACCGGTCGGAGAAACGATCCCTGCCTCCCCCAAGGATCTGCGAGAAGGTCGCATCAGCACACTAACCCGTGACGCCACTGTCACGTGATGCGCCATTCTCGCCTCTCTTCCGGAGATTTCTCCCTTGTGTGAATCCCATTTAAGGGGACAGGGAAGATCCTCATATGTTTTATCAGTTTTTCTCTATTTATGGCTCTTTTTTATTCTTTTGTTTGTTATAGGTCAATGTTTAAGCTCATCTTGACAAACTCAAACTCTTATTTTGCATATTGTTTTACTGGTATGCATTTTGTCTATTGTTACAATCTTTGTAACAAGTCGTGTATTGTATGAGAGCCTTTGTTGCAATGCTATTCTGGCACCCTTTTTATGACCTTATAATCTCGAGTAATGGGCCGCAGCTTCGTTTTTCGAACTAACTAAATTTTGTCATAGGAATCGGTATAACATGAAAGGAAAAGTGTCCTTACAAAAGTAGTTGAATGTTTATTGTACCATTGATATAAGAGAGCTTCCACAATGTATATTCGTTTTTGCTACTATATCATTATTTAGCGTAGATACACCCACTTTTACGCTTAGTAGTATATCTTCATCTTGATGGCTAAAGTCCATTATAAAATATCGCATCAACTCTTCTGGTATCTGTAATACTTGGTGGTGCGAGTGTAATCACAGAAAGTGATGTTACAGCCAGAAAAGCGTTGTTGAGTGGACACAAAACTTGGGCTAAGGCCATTGTCTCGCAGTATGTTAAAAAGTGATTTCGGAAGCTGTGCGCTCATTGGTTCGTTGCGTGATTTTGTCATTCAACATGGCGGCACCCACAACAATGCTACAGGCAGCTACCAGACACCACAGTCGGACTATAAGGAGACATGATGCACGTCATCACCCCTATAGCCTAGCCATGATTTTTCTCAGGGGGAGCGTAAGTGAGAAAAGCAGTGTTGCACCCAGGCGAAGCAGGCGCATGTCGCAGAGCTATTTTTGGTTTGGATGGAGTATATGAGTGAGGTCTGCGCTTGGGCTAAAGTCACCACCTCAAGGTGTGCTCAGGAGTTGACGAAATAGCACTTTTGTTGGAAATGCACTGAATGGGAAGAAGGCGT